GATGGGACACACTAGTCTGAGTCAATCCATGGTAGTGTTAAATAAAAGAATTCAAAGTTTCTGAGATACTTAGATACTTTGGTTTCAGTGGTTTAAATTCTGCATATTTACTTTGCTCCTAAGAGAGCTTTTTGTGGTATTTACATTACAGAAAACCTAATCTAACCAAAAGTTTAAGGGCTAAAATGGAAAACACAAACAAAAATCCCAACAATAATGAAACAGAACTACAAATCAAAACCAGAACTCGATAATACATGAAAATGTTGAAAAGTACTTTCAGCATCTTATAATGCAGACAACCACCATTGTATCCACACCCACAAACTCCAAGTTGTCTCTAATCGTGTAGCATCAACACTACATCAATTCATGAGTGGATAAGCACCAGTCTTGCCAACTTACGCTGGACACAACATAGTAAATTAACATGAAAGATAACCTTGAAAATCAAAGCATGTAAGTAAAGGGGAAGATCTACAGCATTCAAATAGAACGTAGGAGAACTCAAGTAAAATGCTGCCACATTTAATCTTATAAAGATTAACAAATAGATTTTTTTTTCTAAATGCATGTTTCATGAATGAGAAAAATTATGTATAAACTTGCAGCTCTGCAAGTTAAGACTTTGTGATGAGATCTGTAGTGTTTACCCTGCCACAAAGTGGAACTAATGCAATTCCATGCAGGCACACACACGCAGAGTGAACTCAGCTACCCTAAACGGGGCTAAGGACAGAAACGCCAGCAAAAAAGGACTTGTGGGGACAGCTGAAACAGAAACCTTTAACAGTTCTTCAATTTTTCTTTCACCATTTCTACCATTTGCTCTGAGCCTTAAAAAAAAAAACAAACAATAAAACAAAAAACAACAAATGCATTTCCCACATAACTCAGTAGAAAAAGAAGCTAAAAAGCTCAACTATGATGCCAAGACAGAAGTGCCCGTCTTTAAACTTTCTCTCTCCCACAGTTCATCATATTTTACTTCCAGGAAGCATTTCCTACAGGTAACTTGAAAGCTACCATTGTTTACAAGACTCCAAATGGAATCACAAGGTCAGACTTACAACTTTATGGAGGACTTGGAGTGATGGTACCACATTCAACAAAGCTGACAGCAGGAACACAAAGCAGTAAAAAAGAATGCTAGGATTCTCGTGTTTACTCTCTCTACCATAAAATGCTACACTGAAATTCAAAGCATTATAGTCTATTTACAGCCTCAGTACAGAACAACTTGCTTACCTGCTGTTCTACATAAACAGGTATTTTTAAGTTCAGCTCTGCAGTTGTTTAGCAACTGTAGCAGCAGGTAAGCATAAAGAAATTGCAGCCATTCCCACTCTCTTCCTAGTTTCGGAAGCTAAGCCATACAAATGTTATTTTTTCCTCGTTACTAACCCTGACTCCTCCCAACACTTCTTCAAAGCTGCTACCAACCCCTTTCACTGCTTCAAGGTCATAGGCCAGAAAAATGCAAGCATTTCCGAGTTACAGTCTACCTGTAAGGCCTGCTACCTTGGAAGTTGAAATGTAGGACGACGGCACATTCAGAGTTTTTCCTTCTCCCATACAGAAACCAAAAAGAGAACATAAGCCCATGGTTTCCCACAGGGCTACCAAACATTTAAAAACTTGGATTTTTCATTTCTCTTTTGCAAATTGCCTGTAACTATTTATTGAGAATGCATGCTTAACATTTTTTTCAAGACAGCTGGGTTCAATAAGTTGCATTTTATGCTTAAAAAAAATCAGAATTTTGAGAAATACAAGTTAAATAAAATACACTAGCTACAAAAGTAGCTCTATCCACTTTTGAAATCAGTTTTGCAGCCTCATCCCTTTCAAAAAAAACCAACAAAAACAAAACCCAACAAAAATCAGCGCAATTTTTTGTTCTTTCATCCAAGCTGCAAAATTATCAAGTCAATAGCAAACGTTTGGTAATGTTGAACATAAGATAAAAAGAGACAGGCTGTGTTCTGTGTTTGGCCAGAATACTAAAACAGCTTTATAAACAGATCACATCATCAGAATCAAGCAAGGCTCTAATTCTCTGACTCAACAGACAGAAGCAAGAGATACCTACGTTATAGGTGGGAAATCCTTCTCAGTAAGTTTAAGATCAACATCAACCCTGTATGTCTGCAAACAAGTACTATGGCCTTGATTTCACTGATCCAAATGCATTAACTTTTCGTTTGAATCTTTTTAATGCAGCTGTTATGCCACAGACTGCCTGTACCCTATGCACAGCCGAGGGTATAGTTAACAGTAAGTCATGTCCTCTCCAGGTCCATGTATCTGTCTCGTAGAACTTGGGTTAAAGAACTCTGGAAGCCTCAGCCAAACCTCTGCTGTAAGAGGCTTAGAATAATTCAGATGTGAATGCACAATATTGACATTTGGAGTACTGACTTCATCGTGCTGTTAGTCAATAACTGAAGGGATACGGGAGGTCAGACCTTGTAACCCAACTATTTTTTTTCCTTTGCCATTGCCTGTAATACTGGATGGCACCCACATTGGTAAAGAAGGTTGAAGAACCCTAATTAGACAAGCATGAAAAGTTATCTATTTCCACAGAGAACATCTGCATGCTTTAATACCTTAAATCAAGTCTCAGCACCTGATTAAAAGATTAGTAACAATGAACAGCCCCACTGACAAGGAAGACATAAGAAAACTTATTCAGGAATAAAAAAAAACCAGAGTCAGGCCACACTTCTCTTCTGGCGAAGAAAACCCTGGTTGCTACAGGCTAACTGATGTGAGGCAGGCCACATCCCCAGGTGGAAACGCGCTCCGCCGTTTCACAGGCACTCACGCTGTCCTACGAGAGCCCACCCGTGGTTACGTACAGGCACCCTGCCGAGATCCTTCACTCCGTACCCACGCGTGGATCTTTTCGGGCTCCGATTTCCGACTGGAACCGTTCCCACCTCTTACTCAGCTAAGGCTGAGTAAGGCTGGCAGCCCTCGGTGTTTGCAGAGGTCAGCTCCTCCCTCTCCCACCGCCCGCGGGCGCCGCGGCGGCC